AGAAAGGGAATCACCAGCCTCTCACTGTTCCCACTCCCTGCCCCAGAGTTCAGTCTTTTCCTGCAGTTTATGTTAACTGCACCTTTGCTTTTATTTATGCCTTACTACTTAAGTATATAAACCTCCCCAATATGTATTTGATTTTGATTTGCCCAATTTGGAATCTTGTAGGCTCAAAAAAGATGCTGATTTTTGAGTAGATAATAAATACACCTACTTAGTCCAACAAAAGATACTACAGGCACAAGAGGTTAAGATGCAACCTATGAAGCTAAACTCAGCCACTGCAGCACGAGTTCCATCCCCAGGCAGGGAGCTGACCCACAAGGCACAGCAGACCTCTGCTGTCTTGCCTGCTGCTCCCCTCAGCAGTGTATTTCAGTACATCTGCCTGTTCTGCTCCCCACTCTGTCTCTGGTGAATCCTCTCACCCCCCACAACTCTGGCCTGTACCCCAGTTCTTGTATGCATGAATAAATACATCTTTAAAAACAAATAAACAAACAAACAGACAAACAAACCAAAAGATATGACAGCATAGAAAATGAAATTAAGTCAATTAAAGGGCCAAAGCTGGGGCACACTAATGCACACATGAGGAAAATATCATACTGGATAATGGTGTAGCACTATAGTTGTCCAATTATAAAGCTGTACTCCTGAAATTTGCATGCTATAAACCAATGTTACTTCAATAATAATTCCATTTAAAAAATTTATGTACCAAAGAATTGATTTTCTTCTCTTTTTTCAACTCTTTCCCCCATTTTGGGGTTGCATTTCTTTCCAAAGAAAATTCTATACATATAAAGTAAATATTAAGATGTAGACATGTCCTCTTTGGTTTCTGTAAGTGGTCAGCTGAACCTGGTACCAGTCTTCTGCATCTTGTTTTGTTTTAACCTAAAAATGTGATACAATCATTCCACATTAACGCATAGGGCTGCCTTCTTTCTAATGATTTGATAGCATTTCCTTGGGCAGACAAGAATTAGTCAGTTGCCTAACTTTTTTTTTTTTTAAAGATTTATTTATTCATGCATACAAGAACTGGGGTACAGGCCAGAGTTGTGGGGGGGGGGGTGAGAGGATTCACCAGAGACAGAGTGGGGAGCAGAACAGGCAGATGTACTGAAATACACTGCTGAGGGGAGCAGCAGGCAAGACAGCAGAGGTCTGCTGTGCCTTGTGGGTCAGCTCCCTGCCTGGGGATGGAACTCGTGCTGCAGTGGCTGAGTTTAGCTTCATAGGCTGTGTCTTAACCCTTGTGCCACCAGGGAGGCCCCCGTTGCCTAACTTTTAGATCGTTTTCAATCTTTTTCTGTTGCCAACAGGGCTACAGTGGATGGCAACGTTTTACAGGGAGGTGGTTATCCATTTCTGAGGCTCCCTGCCACATTGCCAATGATCTGTCCTTGAGAAGTTTGTCAGATCTGGGCAGGTGGGACCATCTTTCATCCAACTGGCTGCCCCAGGTGCCCACGTGCCTTGTCCTTGGCAGGCACTCAGGGTACCAGATGGCCTGTTCAAGGAAACGTTTGCAGATAAACCCCGGCCCCTGTCCACCTCATCCCTCTAATACTTTCTTTATTCTGGGACCCTTCATTCATTCCACAAATATTTCTAGAAAGTTGACTGTGGGAACCTAACGCCAGCTCAGACCCTGAGGTTTGGAGAGCTGGTGGGCGAGTTAAGACAAATACTGGAAAACACTCTAAGGATGCATTGTCCAATAAGCTATATAAATTTACTTAAAATTCAAACAAAGCTGACAGCCTATTCCTTAATCCCCTGGCCCACATTTCAAATGCTCAATGGTCCCTTGTGGCAAGAGAGGACTGTGTCAGACAAGGCACAAGTTGCCCGTTGCCCCGTGCTAGTTGGTAGCAGGGAAGCAGAGTGGGAAAACCAGTGAGCTCTGGATTCCTAAAAGCTCTAGGTTCAAATCCTGCCTCTGCTCTCTCACAACTGTAAAATGTGGGCACCTGAAGCTTTCTCTGCGCTTCAGCGATCCAGGTGGGGAAGGACAGACCCTCCTACACCTCCGGTGAGGATTCAGAAATAGCAAATGTGGGTGGCTGTGCTTCAAAACACGGAAACTTCTTCGAAACCAGGAGCAATTGTAATTATCTATCAGCAGGACCTCAGCTTCAGTTTTTAAGTGTTTGAAAATTCTGGATTCTGGTTTTTGGAGGGTGGGACCTTCCTAACTCCCTGCACCACTGTGGCTCCTCTCGCTCCCCAGCCAGGTTATCTAAAAACTGAGCACACAGCTACTCCATCAACCTCTAGTGAATGAAGAAACGAATGAACGGGGTCCCCACAGCCAGGGTTTGACGGGCCTTTGGTAAGAATGAACAGGAAGATCAAGGAAGTCATCACGATTAAGTTTCAAATACAACAGACCTGGTTTTAGTTTTTTTTTTTTTTTTCTTTTTCTACTGGAAACAGTCCCTCTCTCAGCCCCTGAGGCTTCCCTCCCCCCCTCACCTAGGGTCCCAGTCTTCTGGGGCACAATTAGCCAACACCCGGAGTCCAGGGTCTGGGCCCTTCCCCCTTTGGCCCAAAATAACCTCCTCCCCCACTAGGAGCAAATGCCTGGAATTCTTTCAACAGGAGGACAAAGCCTTTCATCTGCCAATTACTGATAAAGGGAAAATGCAAATATCATGGGGGAAGGTGATCCATCAAGGGTGCAACATTTATGGAGTGACCACTTAGGACCAGGGGCAGGGTAGGCATTCTGGGGGAGTCAAAGGGGAACAAACCCCCAGCTGGCCCATTCTTCTCTCGGGTCTGCGGTTTCCTCGCGGTTTGTAAAGGGAGGGGATTAAATTAGGTGACTGCTTAACCCCTTCCCACTCTGACAGGCCAGGAACTCCCCACTGAGGTGATATATGGACGAGCTGTTTTCACACGAAGGTGCCTGCCATAGGATCTTTCCCGACACCAGCTTTAGGGGACACCAGGAGGCCACAGAGGGAGGGAGAAGGGCCTATAGGAGGAGTGACCGGAGCTCAGGCCTTCTAGTTCGCTTAACTCACTTTTCAGGGCCCTCCAGCCCGTACACCCTCACCCTTCCTTTGAGGATGCTTATTAACTGGGAGCAGCGAAGGTGTCAGCAGCAGTGAAAGCACATGGCGACCAAGCCAGGCGGGCGTGTGAGCCCCAGCAACCCCACTTCCAGGCTGTGTGATCTTGGGCCAGTGGCTTTACCCCTCTGAGTCTGTTTCCTGGTTCCTCTGGCTGTCGGCGCTGGTGAGAGAAACAAATGAAATGGTCCCTGGTTCTTTGACAGGCTGAAGGCAAAAATCCTCTCACTCTTACTAAGCCAGCGTGGGCGATTTCAGTTTGGAAACAAATTTTTCATGTTTGCCAGCCTCATCCCCACTTAAAAAAGATTAAAAAAAAAAAGAGAGAGCGAAACAGCTAGTGGACTTGAAGTAAAATAAACCTCAGAGACGGTTCTTTGGGGAGTGGGTGGGAAAGAATAGAGAAAGACAGAACAGGAAATTTTAAGGTGTGTGAGGGGGAAGCTGCGTCTGGGGTGAGGACTCGAGCTGACAGTTCACATCCGATCTTTGATGGGAAGCCACTTCCTCCCCACGTCTGTCTGGGGCTGCTGACGCGGGGCCATCTGAGCGCAGAGCAGCCCCACTCCTGCCTTCTCCCGGCCCGGCCTTTCCTGCCTGCCGGTGACCTGCTGCAGCCGCCCGCAGGGGGGACGCAGAAATAAAATGGAAAGTATGGGAAATTTTTCTTTTCTTGGGGGAGCCTGTTAGGAACCCCGACTTCGCCCCTCGATCGTCTCCCGGGGCCACCTTATCTCATCCAGATCTTTCCTCCCAAGCATCGGGCCTAGTGGGGCTGGAGCAACGTTTGGCGCCAGCTTTTGCCACAACCCAAGTCGACCTGATGGCGGTTCATCGTGGGCACCCCATTTGGGGTGCCCGTCCTGGGGGTGCTCACAGCGAGCTGGGTGTGTGGACGGGGACGCACACCCAGCTCTCCCAGCACCCCCTTGCCGGCACGGAGGGTGCGGAGCCCTCCATCGAGAAACCCCATAGGGTGAACCGAGGGGCGCCCAACCTTCCCCGAGCCCCATCCCAGAGCGCTCTGCACCTCTGCTCCGACGTGCTCCCCCGCAAACAGCCAATGAGGGCTCACCCTTCGCCTGCTCGCCGGCCGCGTTAGGAGGCGCCAGATCCGATTCTCTCGGCCTCTCGCTCCTGAGAACCTTTTCCTCCTCTCGGCGGACGCTGGGACCTTTAAAAAGTGTCCAGCCTCGGCCGCGGGGCTCGCCGCCCGGGAGGGGACCCCGCGGCGGCGGGGGGTGAATGAATGAAAGGCAGCGACCCCGGCCCGCTCGGGCTGCAGGCCGGGCCGGACCGGCCGGTTCGTGGGCCCGAGTGCGCGGGTCCAGAGCTCTGAGCCCGGGAGTTTAAAAGTCATGCAGTGCGCACAGGTAGGGAGCGGCGCGGCGCCTTCCCGCGCCCCCCAGCTCGCCTCCAACTGGCGGGACCGCCTCAGGGGTCTGGAGAAACGCGCCCCCTTCCCCCTCCCCCAGACCTGCAGCAGGAAAGAAACAAAAATCAGATCCACAAAACGCTTTGAATTGGGGTCGGCCACGTAGGTGACGGGGCGGGGGGTGCAGGCGAGGAAGAGGGGCCCGCCCGCCCGGGGGCCGGGGTGGAGGCGGGGGTCGTGGTGGGGGCCGGCCCCGGGGGCGTCCGCGCCGGCCCGCGGGGCCGGCATTTCCGCGCCTCCCGCCGGGCCGGCGCGCAGGCCGCCCCTCCCCCGCGCGGCATCTCCGGGGTGCGCCGCGCCGGCCCGCCCGGCCTCCGAAAGTCAGGGGCGCGCGCCCGCCCGGCCCGGCCCTGCGTGCAGCGCGCGCTCGCGACCCGGCTCACGGCGCGGGGCCCGGGCTGGCGGCGCCGGTGCCCCCCGCCCCCCGCGCCCCCGCCCGCGCGCCCCCCCGGCCGCGGCTCCGCGCGCGAGCGGCAACAATGTTTACGTTCCGGGGATTATGACGTCGACGCCGCCCCCCCGACTGCGGAAAATGGTTTCCTAGGACTTTGCAAGCGGATCCGCTTAAGTGTTGGTGCAAAACTTTGTAGACCGCGGCCCGGGCTCGCGCTCTGTCCTGACGTGGGGCTGGTTGTCTTTGGTCTCCCTCCCGCTCCCCTCGCCAAAATGCGGGGGGCAGGAGTGTTGACAATTAATTGGTGAACTCTCCTAAAAAAATGGAGGCAGAGAAAGACTCTGGAAGAAGATTGGTGTGTAGCTTTTTTTTTTTTCTGCAAATCTGTGTCTGGTGGACGCTAGGGCTGTTTTGGTTGCTCTCGTTTCTTGCTGCCTTTTCTTTCCTTTTCTGTATTTTGCAAGAGGACCGGAAAAAAATATAATAAATTGCATGCAAAGGAAGCGAGCAGCTCACCCCGCCAGTCCCTCGCGAGGCGCGGCGCCTCAGACACTGAAGTGGGGCGGGGGCGGCCGGGGCAGGCGTGGAGGGGGAGCTGAGCGGGCTCGGGGTTCGCCCGGCATCCGGGGGCTGCGGGGCCGGGCGCCGGGCGGGGGGCCGGGATGCGGGGAGCGGGGGGAGCCTCCTTAGGAAGTGAGTGTGCGCGCGCGCTCGCGGGGCGATGAGGCAGCTGCTGGTGCGTTTGGGGTCTCCGAGGGAGCTTTGTGGCGGGCCGCCGCCCCCGGCCCCGGCCCGGCCCCCCCGCCCCTTCCCCGGCCCGGGCGGCGGGCGGGGGGCGCGGGGGCTCGGCCCTTCCCTCGCGGCTCCCGGCGGCCCCGGCAGCTCGGGGGCGGCTCCGGCCGCGGAGACGCCGCCGGCCCGGGTTCCGGCTCCCCCGCTCCGCCGCCGCGGCCGCCGGGCCGGTGCTGGGGCCGGTGCTGGGGCCGGGCCGGGCGCGGCGGCGGCTGCTCCGGGGCCTACAGCCGCCCGGCGGGCCGCGCTCCGAGTCCCGGCGCGGGTTACATAACCGGCCCGGCCGCGGGGGCCCCGCGCGACGCCTCCCGGGGGCGGGGGCGGGCGGGGAGGCCCCGGCGCGCCCCTGCGCGGCCCGCGGGAGTGCGGAGGGCAGCGCCCCGCGCCGCGCGCGGCCGAGCCGGGGGGTGCCGGCCCCGCGCGGGAGCCTCGTGCCCCGCGTCCTCGGCGTTTGCGCCCAGGGGCCCGGGTCGCGGTCGCGGGGTGCGGGGGGCGCGCGGCACCTGCACCTGCTCGGGCGCGGCCCGCGCGAGGGGCGCCCCCCGCCATGTCCCGGGCTCTCCGGTTTGGGTCCCCGCAGCGCGCGATTGACCGCCAGCGCTACGACGAGAACGAGGACCTGTCGGACGTGGAGGAGATCGTGGGCGCGCGCGGCTTCAGCCTGGAGGAGAAGCTGCGCAGCCAGCTGTACCAGGGCGACTTCGTGCTCGCCATGGAGGGCAAAGGTGAGCGCCGCCGGCGGGGCGGCCGCGCACGTGGGCAGGAGCGGCCGGCGGCCGGGTTCGTATTTCGCGCCGCGTCCCCCATTCCAGGGGATCCGGTGACGACACGAGGCCGAGCCCGGGGGGCGGGGGGGGCGGCGCGGGAGGCGGCGGGCGGCGCCGTGGCCGGGCGTGGGCCTAGGCCCGACCCGCGCCCAGCGCAGCCCCCGGCGGGCGAGCCGGGCCGGGCGGGCAGAGGGACCGGGGCCCGGGCGGGGGGCGGGGGGCGGGTGCGCCGCGCTCTGCCCCTCCCGGGCCGCCCCGCTCCTGGGGCGGCTGGAGGTGCGCGGCGCGGAGACTTGGCGGGAGCGGGGCGGACACCCGGGGGGCTCTGGGGATGGGGACCCCGGGCCAGACGCCCGCCCCGCCCCGCGCCGTGTCGGACCTGGCCCGGCGGGAGTGCAGCCGGGGCGCCCGGGTCGCGCGTGCCGGCCCTCGAGCCTGGGGTGGGCTGGAGCCCACACTGCGTGGCTCTGCAGGTTGGCGCGGGGGCTGCGGACCTCACTTGGCCGGGGCCCGTGCGGGAGCCCGTGACAGTTTCCAGTGGGGGCTGGCGGCAAGGGCGTGAACCCCCCCAGACTCTCGGCTGAGTTTCTTGTGCCTGACAGTTGGATTGGAAGACCCGGGATACCCCTCTGGGACATGGGGGGGGGGGTGTCTCTTTCCAGGCCTGTGAGCTTCAGAACTCTGTCCCCCTGCCGGTTTAGAGCAGAAGTTGGGAATCCTCTGGGGGTGTTGGGGTGCCACTCCACCCCGAGTCCTTCAGGGCCTGAGTTTCCCCCTGACCCTAATACTGGGAAGGTATGGGGGTGTCCTTCAGACTTTGGGGTGACCCTGTGGCTTGGGTCTGAGGCCTCCTAAGGCTCTCTGCCCTTCCAAGGCTCTGTGCCCCTGCCTACCCAGGCATCTCCCTGTGCCCTCCTGGGGTTTGTAAATTCGCCCCCGCCCCCCTTGAGTCTCCTTTATACCACTTCCTTTCCATTCTGTTTATCCCCCAGCGCTCTTGGAAAACCCTTCTATCCCTCAATGAGCTGATAAGGGGGAGGCCTCCCGCCTCTAGGTTCTGGTTGACTGGCTGGGGCTGTGGGGTTAGCCCCTGGAAGAGACAGCCTGGTTTTGCATTTTTGAAGTTTCTCTTTTGTGCCCATTGCTTCCTGGGGTGCTGGGCTTTGGAGGTTGGGGGCATTGGTGGGGGGAGGGAAGGAGAAATTTCTTCCAACTTGCCAGGTCTTGAAGGGCTCTTTTGGGCTGTCCTGAGCACCAGTTTCAAACACATTTAAATTTCCTTAGCACAAATGGGATTTTAATTCTTCTCCTTTCTTCCCCATCTTGCTGAGTTTTTTTGGTGGATCCTATGAGGAAACAATGAAAACTCTTCCTAGTCATTTGTGAAGAATTCTCAGCCCAGGATCTCAGAGTGTTTTCTCTGGCTCATTTGAGGAAGTTAATGCTGAGCCTGGGGGTGGGAGGGGGGTGGGAGGGGGAGATTCTGACCAGGGAACTCTAAAAGTGTATCCTTAAATCTGCTGTCCCAGCTCTTTTCAAAGGAGAGGGCCCTAGGGTTTTGGTAGTTAATTCAGATCTGGCCCCAAAACTGGAGGGAGGAGCTGAGAAACAGAAGGAGCCCTTAGCCAGGATTCAAAATAGAAGCTTCTTAAACTTCTCTGCCTTTAAATCCTTAGGAATCCCCATTCAGTCTGAGCCCCTGGGGATCTGAGCTCTAAGGTCGGGGCTTTCCCCAGCTCTGGGTTTTGTTCTCGGCCTCTCTTCTGAGCCCTTGGCCTCCTCCCCCCAAGCTGCCCTGGTGAACTGTTTCCCCGGGGCAGCGCTTCAGTGGCCTGGGATCCCTTCTGTCACCCTTCTGACTGGCCAGGGAGGGCTGGTGCCCTTGTGGATGGCTTCAGTGACCTGTGGATTTGGGGGAGGTGAGGGTTTGTCCCAGCCTTCAGAAATCAGGGGTATGGCTGGTTTTAGATCCCTTGCTTTTGGAACTCAGGCTTCCTTCGTCGTCCTTCAGGGTGTTCCAGAAGGATCTGGGGGTCGACACCAGACAAACCCCAGACAGAAAATGTTCTGGGGATTTTCTTTGGGCCTCCATATGCCCCCTACGCACGCCTGCACTTGGGGGGCATCCCTCTCGGTTTATCCCGCGGAAGCAGTATTATGATCGCCCCAGCCGAATTTCACTATTAAGACAACAAAGCTGTGCCCAGTTCCCTAGTTATTTTGGCACCAAATACACAGTTTCCAGGGAAACCGGCTCCCCCCCTCTCCCCTTTACCATGCAGGATATTACAATCAGATCTTCCCTGATGCTCGGCTACAATGAGAACCCTCCTCCCAGCCTCCTCTCTGGGGCTTCAGATCCTCCCAGGTGGCATTCTTCAATTTTTTGCCATCCCTTTCCTCTCTGAGCTCAGCCGGGGATGCGTTTCGCTGTCTGGGGCTCTCTACCGAGTCCCCTCCCTACCCCTCACCGGCCTTGAGCTGTTCATTGACAAGTTCTGACCCGTGGGGCACGCAGGGAATGGCTGAGTAGGCAGAGGCGCTGAGAGTTGGCATGGCTTCTCTTGAGCTTTGCCGAATCCATCTCTGTCATTTTCCAGGAGCCTTTGCCTTGAGCTGGTGCCTGCGTCTCGTCTCACCCCTCCCCTGCCCCTTCCTCCGTCACGTTTCTCCCCTAACCAACTGATCACGCTTCGTTTGCTCCTTCACGACTTAACCAACTGGTTTTAATTCCAATACCCAAACAGATTTCAACTATGAGTACGTGCAGAAAGAAGCTCTCAGGGTCCCCCTGATATTTCGGGAAAAGGATGGACTGGGAATTAAGTAAGTTGCTGAAACACGTCGCTTCTTCCCCCATCTCCCTCCCTGACACGCCTTGGGACAGATTCTGTCCATTTCGTCCCCTTCTCCCCGCTGAGAGGCACATTTCTTCCTTGTCTGGGGACAGCACTGTCCTGTTCCAAGTCTGACAAGAGGGGGAGATTGCCCCCAGGCCTGGTCTTTTCTTTTGCAGGGAGTTTGGGCAGAGAGGACTAGGGCGCTTCAACAGTGCCAACTTCCCTGCCCACCGAGTTCCCTGCAGTGACTTCCGGAAGAGATTGTGCTCCCTGCGCCAAGTCGGGAAACCGAGGCAGGGCCTGAGCCGGATAGGCGGCAGCCAGCCTCTGGGCCCATGCTTTCACGCAGACTCCTCCCATGCGGGAAATTGGTCCTTTTCTATAGAGGGCGTTTCCTCAGATGCTAGGCCCAAGGCTCCCCTTCCCTCCCCACTGTGTCTTGTTTGGCTTTCATTCTCCTGGAGATCTGTCAGAGCTCCAGGTGGGGGAGAGATCCCCAGGCAGGCTGGAAGAACAGGTTTCCGCCCCTTGGGCAGGGGTGGGGAGGGTGTCATCCCAGACTGCCTCCCACTCTAGCATCTGCTGCCAGACTGGCTTCAGCGGCTCGTTCCTAGGAGCAGAAATGAAACCTTCCGGCATCGTTGTTAATAGCGAATGTCAACACCATCTTTATCAAATCCCTGGGATTGGAATGACGTGTTTTCTTATCCTCTGCACTGAAACAGCCCCTTTCGCTTCCATACAGCTCCTCATGGACAGTGTTTTCTAGAGGGAGAGGCACAGAGAGGACACCCACCCTACAGGGGGCAGTGTTTACACGCCCAGCTCTCCACTTGCCCACGATGGCCCATGTCAGTGTCCCCTGCCGCCCCCAAGCCCAGGACACTGGCTGCCCCAGCCTCTTGTCCACAGCAGTGCTGAGTCAGGTGTCTGGAGAGAGAGGGGATTTTGCTTACCTGTTGGGGTGAGGAAGGAGCTCTTGGGTTCAGGGGTGACCCTCTCAAGGCACCAGCCGATCTATCACCCTCGCTCTGGGGTATCTCATTTGCGGTTCCCAAACTGAGAATGCGAGACCATTCTGGGGAAAATGTCTGCTGCCCCCCCACTCCCAGAGTGGGCCTGGCTGCTGTTTCCGGCTTCCTACCCAGTGTCTGCTCTTCTTTTTCCAGAATGCCTGACCCTGATTTCACAGTCCGGGATGTCAAACTCCTAGTGGGTAAGTGGCTGGCGGTGCAGGCCGTGCTGCAGGGGTGGGGCGGGGAGAGGAGGGCCAAGAGGCCTTTGCCACCTGCCTGTGTAGGTTTCTAACTGCTCTGAAAAGAAAGCCCCCACGGGAGGAGGAGGAGGCAGGAGCAGGTGTGAGAGGCAACCGTCTGAAGGGGAGAGCAGGTCAGATTGCAGCGTCGTGAGAACCCGGAGGGGACTGTGTTTGCCAGTGCGGTTTTATGAGGCCGGTTTGGCCCCGAGCCTCCAGCTTGGGTGTCAGCAGCACCATCTTAGATCTCCCCTTTGCGTGTATTTCTGGGTTGCTGGGTAAACACTGGGTGCTTTGTGACCCCAGAAGACTTTCAGACTTGGGAGGGGAGGGATCATGCCCCCTGCTTCCTTCCCTAGGGTTCTGGGCAGGCCCGGGCGGGGCTTGCCACCCAGCGCCCAGAAAGCCCTTCTTAACCCCCTGAGCACCTGCAGAGAGAGGCTGATTGCTCAATGCCCTGATTCCCGACCTGGTCCTGGCGCGACTCAGATTTTACAGGAAGTTGTTCAATAAATCCACTCGTTCCAAAAGTGTCTCCCAAGTAGCTCCTAGGACAAGCAAGTCCAGAACCCAACAGACAAGATCCCTGCCCCCCTGGGTTGTGGTGACAGGCAACAGTGAAGTGCATAGTTAAAAAAAAATTTTTTTGTTGTTATTTGGAGGGTGATAAGGATTATGAGGAAATAAAGCAGAGTGATGGGTTGGAAGGTGACGGGGTGGAACAGGGTCAGGAGAGGACATTTGGACAGATTCCTGATGGATGAGAAGCCAGCTGTGGGAAAGAACTTTCTAGATACAGGGATGTGCCAGGGCAAAGCCAGGACGTAGGGGAGGAACCAAATGATCGAGGGGAAGGATGGGAGAGCCCTCAGGGCCTTGTAGATCCTGGCGGAGGATTTGGGGTTCACTCCAGTGTGATGGGAAGCCGCTGGGGAATTACTGTTTTGTTTTGTATTTTTAGAGATTTACTTTTGTTTATTTATGCGTACAAGAGCTGGGCTGTAGGCCAGAGGGGTGAGGGGTAAGAAACAGAGTGGGGAGCAGAACAGGTGGATCTACTGAAATACACTACTGAGGGCAGCAGCGGGGAGACAGGAGAGGTCTGCTGCGCCCTTTGGGTAGCTCCCTGGCCGGGGATCAAACTCAGGCCGCAGTGGCTAGCGATACCTTCATAGCGCTGAGACTTTAACTCCTGTGCCACCAGGGAGGCCCTGCTGGGGAGTTTTAAAGTGGGGTGAGGGAAGGTAGCTATGGGATGTGATATTTTCTTGGGAGGAGAGGAGTTTGAAAGATTTTTCAAGACTGAGATAAAATCCACATTTAACCATTTTGACGTGATGATTCAGGCGTGTTTTAGTATATTCCCATGTCGAGCTGCTGTCACCACCGCCTCTTTCCAGAACATTTCCACCACCCTGAAAGCAGACCCTGTAGGTCCCAGCGCCTCTAGCCCTCTGTCCCCGGGCAGCCACTGTGTTTGCTTTTTGTGCCCACGGGCTTGTCTGGTCTGTGCACTTCACGTACGTGGAACCAGTGTGCCTGGTGCTTTGTGTCTGGCCCTCACACCCAGCACCATGTTTTCGAGGTTCAGCCGGGGTGGAAAGGGCTGCATTGCTCTTTCTGTCTGAAGAGCATCCTTCCTGTTGGGTGGTCAGGTGACATTTTGTTTATCAGTTGATAGACATGTGTTTTCTACTTCTCGGCTATTATGATGTTCCTTTGGATATTCACAGACAGGTTCTTGGAAATCCATTTCCATTGTTGTCGGGTCCACTGCTTGGAGTGGAATTGCTGGCTCAGAGGGTCACTTTTTCCTCAGGAAACCACCACTATTATCCAAAGCAGCTGGGTCATTGGACATTTCTTTCTGTCTTTTTTTTTTTTTTTTAAGATTTATTTTATTTATTTATGCATACAAGAGCTGGAGTACAGGCCAGAGATGCAGGGGGTGAGAGGATTCATCAGAGAGAGTGGGGAGTAGAACAGGCAGATACACTGAGATCCTCGGCTGAGGGGAGCAGAGGGGAGATAGGAGAGGTCTGCTGCACCATGTGGGTAGCTTCCTGGCTGGGGATCCAACTTGTGCTGCAGTGGCTGGGGATAGCTGATAGTACTGAGACTTAACCCCTTGCGCCACCAGGGAGGCCCCTGGTTACATTTCTTTTCCTTTTTTTTTTTTTTTAAATATTTATTTATTTATGCATACAAGAGCTGGGGTACAGGCCAGAAGTGTGGAGGGTGAAGGGATTCACCAGAGACAGGGTGGGGAACAGAACAGGCAGACTGACTGAAATACACTGCTGAGGGGAGCAGCGGGCGAGACAGGAGAGGTCTGCTGCACCATGTGGGCAGCTCCCTGGCTGGGGATCAAACTTGGGCTGCAGCAGCTGCGGACAGCTCCATAGGTTGAGTCTTAACTCCTTGCGCCACCAGGGCGGCCACTGGTTATTATATTTCTTCGGTTATATATATTTATGTTTATATTCTTTGGCTATTTATACATACTTGGTTATTTTTATATGTATTATGAATGAACCCATCTGGTTAACTGTATTTCATTTTGTGAGTTAGTCTGTTTACATTATCAAGATCCATCTATATTGTCCCCAATTTCATTATTTCATCTTTTTAAAAAAAGATTAATTTTATTCATTTATGCATACAAGAACTGGGGTGCAGGCCAGAGGTGGGGGGGTGTAAGGACTTTCCAGAGACAGAGTGGGGAGCAGAGCAGGCAGATCTACTGAAATGCACTGCTGAGGGGAGCAGCAAACCAGTTGCTCCCATGCTCTCAATCTGCACAGTAATCTCATTCTTGCAAGTGAATGCTTGGTTTGAGTCTCTCTCATACTCTTCAGCAAAGGTGATATTTTCTTTCATAATAGAGTACTTTGCATGTCAATGTTAAACCATTTTCTTAGGTTAATATTATGTGACATATCATTTTATTTTTATTTATTTTTTGTTTTTAATAAATTCCTCACTCCACCATCCCTTTTATCACCTGTCCCTTTCCCCCTTCTTAGTCTGAGAGCCCTCAGGGTTTCTATTGATGTCCATTGGTTTTTGAAAGTATTTTACTTTATTGAATTTTCTCCTATGTAAATGTCCAAGATTTATATTGTTCTGACTTACTTTGCTGCACATAATTCTCTCATTCCCTCTATTTTGTTGAAAGTGGTTGCCATTTCATCCTTTCCTACGGCTGTATAGTACTCCATGGTGTGGCTGCAAAACATCTTGGTCTAGTCTTCCATCGATGGACATTTAGGCTGCTTCCATGTCCTAGCTGTTGTAAATAATGCTGCTAAGAACACTGTAGAACATACAGAGCTTTCTGTTGATGGTTTTATAGTCTGTGGATAGAAGCCTGAGACTGGGATTGCCAGGTTGTACAGAATTTCCATTTTCAGTTTTGTTTTTTTTTTTTTTTTTAAATACTAGAACTGGGTTACAGGTCAGAAGCGTGGGAGGGTGAGAGAATTCACCAGAGCCAAAGCAGGGAACAGAACAAGCAGACAAACCGAAGACACTGCTGGAGGGGAGCAGCAGGCGAGACAGGAGAGGTCTGCCGCGCCATGTGGAAATCTTCCCGGCCGGCGGGGAATCGAACCGGCGCTGCAGAGGCTGCACACAGCTTCCAGCGCGGCGCTCAACCACCGTGCCACAGGGGAGTCCCTCCATTTTCAGGTTTTTAAGGGAAATCTGGTTGCTTCCCATTATAGATGCCTTGGTTTCCATTTTTACCAGTAGTGTCACAGGATTCCCGTTTCTCCAAATCCTCTCCAACGCGGTTTTTTTTTTTTTTTAACTGTGTTCCAGTCGTGTGAGATGGTAACTCATTCTAGCTCTAATCTTCATCTCTCTTAATCAGAAGTTACAGTGAACATTTTTCATGTTTTTGGTCTTTTGGATATTTCTTTCGTGAATGTTCCATTCATAGCTCCTGTCCACTTATTAATTGTGTTATTTTTTAAAATCGCTCAATGAGTTTTTTCATATTCAGTTTGAATATTAAGCCCTTATCAGTTATAGATTGTGAAACAATCTATAGATTGTTTCCTGCTTAGTAGGGTGTGTAGTTAATCATCTCTGATTTTCCTTTTTTTTTTATAATGCTTTTTTTTTTTTTTTAAGATTTATTTATTTATTCATACAAGCACTGGGTACAATCAGAAGCGTGGGAGGGTGAGAGAATTCACTAGAGACAGAGCAGGGAACAGAACAGGCAGACTGACGTAACACACTGCTGAGGGGAGCAGTGGGCGCGGCAGGAGAGGTCTGTCGCTCCATGTGGGACCCTCGCCTGGCGGCTGGGGATCGAACCAGCACTGCAGAGGCTGCTGGCAGCTTCGCAGCCCAGCGCTCAACCGCTGTGCTACCAGGGGAGGCCCAGATTTTCCTTTTTTGTGTGTTTGTTTATGCATAAAAGAACTGGGGCACAGGCCAGAGGTGCTGGGGGTGAGAGAGTTCACCAGAGACAGAGTTGGGAACAGAATAGGCAGATCTGAAATACACTGTTGAGGGGCGCAGCGGGAGAGTAAGGAGAGGTCTGCTGTGCCATGTGGGTCATCTCCCTGGCCGGGATAGAACTCATTTCACAGTGGCGGGCTGACTTTATTTTATTTTATTATTTTTTAAGTATTTATTTTTTGTTTATACAATAGCTGGGGTATAGGCCAGAGGCACGGGAGGGTGAAAGGATTCACCAGAGACAGAGTGGGGAGCAGAACAGGCAGACAGACCAAAAGCACTGCTGAATGGAGCAGTGGGTGCAAAAAGAGAGGTCTGCCGCACCATGTAGGAATCTTCCTGGCCGGCTGGGAATCAAACCCGCGCTGCGGAGGCTGCGGACAGCTCCACAGCACTGTGTTCAACCCCCTGTTGATAGCTCTGACTTTATTTTTATTTTTTTAAAGATTTATTCATTTCTACATACAAGAGCTGGGGCACAGGCCAGA